AGCTTGGCCAGGTCACAGCGGCCAAGCCGAGGGACCCAGCTCTGCTCCCTCACGGATTCTCTTTTAATACCGTTTAGTAGGAGGAACTCGAAGCCCAGACAAGTGCTCAACGTCCCCGCACAGTGAAATCTCGGGAAACTTTCACAGCTGAAAAACACCACACTAAAATAAATAGATAAAATAAAAAGGCAAAAACCAAACCAACACAAGAAAGACACCACCACAAGGCTCGAACTCCGACACAAGGCACGCGCTGCAACACCAGGAGAGGGGAGCGGCTGGTCCTCGGGCTGCAGACCCAACGCTTCTTGCATGACCAGGAGACGCGCAGAGAGTCTTGGGCGACAGAGAGTATCGTCCTCGTGGTGATGGTATGGACCAAATGGCTCACCACTTCGTCTTACAGATAATTTAAGAAAAAAGGGGGTCATGCCAAATCTTTTCACAAGTGCTTGGCTGGGTTACAAACAAGCTCCCCTTGGTAATCAAGAAGTTCTCCACACAGGCATACGAGTGGAGCTGTCAAGGAGAAAACCTCCCCAGACATCAGCCTGATGGATCTGTCATTTCTAGAGGAACTACAGGGAGAACACGGCTTCTCCACACCGGGACCAGCTTGGCCCACCTGTGGGGAAGGTGAGAATTACCCTGCTGTCTCCCAGAGGATTCTGGCCAAGCGTGCTGGCAGATTGGGTTAGCCGGGGGACGAACTCGGGCACGAGGCATCCGAGAGGAGACGGCAGGACCCCAGTGCCAGGGTCTTGAGACACCAGAGCACAACCCGCTCCGGGGAGCGGGCGCTCTCGGAACGAAGGTATCGCACCAAGAGCCTCGTTAAGGCAAAAAATAGACTTGAACCAGCCCACTGTGTATTTTTCGCTTCCCAGCAGGGGCCCATCCTCCCCCACTTCTGGTGATGCAAGAGTAAAAAGCTTCCATAAGGCGTATAAAGCTCTTTAAAGTTAGCGCACACACACACGCACACAGAGATGATTCGAGTCTCTCGCCGGGTTCTAGCCATACCTTCCCGTGCCTCTACCGCTTCTACTGTGGCTGCAATACAGAAGAACAGTGGCATGCAAAAATGAAGACAGAGAAAAAAAAACAAAAGAGTGACAGTGAGTGATCCAACGTCATCGCTGCGACGCAGAGCCCACAGCCTCCCAGCCCCAGTGCAGACGACCGTAATCAAAACCGACTGGCGAGGGGGGGGGAAAAAAAGGTGACAGGAGCTCGAGAGGAAAGCGGAAAGGGGACTCCCTCGGGGTTAGCGTCTGCTGAGCACCGACACGGGGAGTCTCCTTTCCTGGCGTCCGCTGGACTCGTCACACAGAGAAATCTGACGGGAGGGAGCAGAGAAGCGGACAGACGGCTTGCCGCGGCGTGCAGGTGGCAGGGACGGTGACCGGCTCGGGCTAAGCCACGGGTCTCCACCTGCATCTACAGCCCCCCTGCCCCCAGCCCGGCGGCTCTGTGGCACCCTGGCCACCTTCAGCAGGGAAATGATGTGGAATTCACCCCAGAGCAAGGCCACAGCTACGTAAGGGAAGCGACCCTGAGGGACGCCATGATGTTCTGGAGCAGTGGGGAAGAGAGGGGCTGTGCGTTCCCCGGGGGAGGGCAGGCAGCAGCAGACACCAGGCTGCTCCGCTCCCGACGCCTTGAATTAGAACAGGCTGATGCTTCAAACCCAGTTCGGCTTCAGCTCCTCCTCCTGCAAGAGTTACCAAGCAACCAGGCACCATAAAGCTGAGCAGTGTGCCCCTTCCTAGGTCTGCCGCAGCAGCTGGCCAAGTTTTGGTAGTCCCTTCCTCAACATCTGGGAGGAGGCCCTTGGCTACAGCAGATCCCCTGCTTTTAGCCTCAAAACTCCACGTTTTTTTTTGCTTTGGACACAATATAAAGGCCACAGGGTCCTAGAGAGGCCACGGAGGAAGAATGGAGTTGTGGCTGAACATCTTTGCTCCAGATCCAGTGACTTTCTTCAGGCAATTTTGCTGAGCTGTGCTGCGAAAGGCTGGCAGGAGGCTCAGGGAGGGAAGGGGCCCCGCTGTCGCTACCCACAGCCCCGCCGCTCCTCTTTCGGGGTACAGAAGCACCC